GTTTGATTGTTTTTTCCTTACCATTAGGAAACAAAGTAAGAGGCAAACTTATGTAAAAAACAACACAGCGAAAACCATTAAAAAACAATTAAAACCTCACATGACTGATAATAATAACGATGTTTGTTCGGATTTACTTGGAAAGATGACACACAACAGCCAGTTGAGTCTCGGTCTCAGTTGTCACAATTTGTGAGACCAAAGACCATTTACAAAATTGTGATGTTTGTTCACGTCAAATGTGTACGGTGTACTCTTTTGGAGTGACTTTGATCTCAAATTGGCTAGTTGGAGGTGAGATGAACAGAGATTTCTAATTAGTAATGTCGATGTGGCTGCGAAAATGTTACTTCTGGTGATTTTTTTTTTCGTTTCACGATATATCTATCCTCAAGTGAAAAAATTAATGCTCTGATAATTAATTCTATAAAGATAAATTAAACGACCTCATTCTGTAAAAATTTTAATTGAGTGTGTGCGCAAGCATAATTGAGAATTCATTACTAAAAAAGTCTGACAAAAAGGAAATGTCGTGTTTAATCATCAGGCAAATAATTTATTGTCCTAATTTATTTTCTTTGTTAAGGAGAGAACTATAGTCAGCTTATTCTCCACATGTTCTGCTGAACTTTTACTTTGGGCAGAATTAGACCTATACATAATCTCTATAAAGTATTGATGTGTGTTTTTTTTATAATTCCAAACAATGCGATTTTTGAGCCCCTAAAGTTGACAACATTGTTTCTAATGCCTGTAGCCGGTTTCGGTTTTAATTTTTTAGTCCATTGGATTCAGCTGCAGATGCTGTAAGCCAAGGTTTCGGTCTTTTAAAAAAGGGGGTGGAGGAACTACATGTGTACGTCTTTTTCCAGATGAAATCTCAAGATGAAGCAGAAGACATAAATAAAAGTTAGGTTATAGCGAAACAAACATCAAATTTTGTTTTTTTTCTTCTACACGTTTTCCCAATGGTGGTGCACTGATGAAAGAAACTCACTCATTGAGTGGTGATGAAGGTTTCAAGTAACGCAGACAAAATTCAACAGGTTAAAAATTACTGTTATCAAAGAAAGCTTCATAGTAAGAAACGCAGAAGAAGAGTAAACAAAAAAGTCAATAAACAAACAAAAAACGTTACAAATTTCTCCACTTGGCTTACAGAAAAATAAATAAGCAGTTTAATCATAAACTTTTTCTGCTAAGGTTTTGTTTTTAACAGAGAAAGGCTTTGTATTTTTTTGTACGAGAAGAAAATAAAACTTACCGCTGAGAAATGTGTTTCAGGAAAACAACAATTTCTTGCTATTGGAGATAACAAGTCTTCAAGGCTTCTTCAATTTGTAGCACTACTCATTTATGATTTTTAGTTTTTTTCTTGTTTTATTCTTCCTTTTCTTTATAAATCACTAAAATTTTAAATTGAAAATTTTATATTATTATAAATAAAATATACAATTACTTATTTTTTCTCTTTGTTTCTTTCTTTTCTGTTTCAGTTTTTAATTAAATATGATACGCGTTTAAACGTTTCGAAAAAAAAACAAGTTAGTCGCGTTTTTACACACGTTTGACGTTATGATGTTCTTTCACCAACCACGGCCGGATATGTCACGACGGACAAGGCAGATATTGAAAATTTAATTAAGTGTATTTTTTGTGTATTCTTCTTCTTCTTGGGTAAGTTGCTGTTTTATTTTTATTGTTTATGTACTTGTTGTTGTTGCTGTTGTTTGGGTTTTGTAGTTTTTTTTATCGTGTTATGGTGTGGTGGTGTTGCAATTGCATATGTACATTTATTTGAGTATCTTGTGGCATGCAACGCAAAAGTATATAATTCTTAAAACCGGGTTCTGTTCAGTCCATACACCTCTGCCGCAGTTTGTCTGGTTTGCATTTATGTTTTTCTTAGCCGTGTTGCAGTTGCAACAGGTTACTGCACCTATCGTCTTCTCTTTTGTTGTTGTTGATTTTGTTATAATGTCAGTCAGTTGGTTCTCTTTAAACGACAAAAGAACAATGTATATGCTTTGCATTATTTTCCTTTTTTTTTCTTCATAAAATATTCTTACGTGCTGTCAACAATTAAACGTTTCAACATTTATTTCTGAGGAAAATTGTATATTGTTCAAATTGAACCAGTTCAAAACCTGTCACGTGATAAGTTCTTAGAGGAATCGATTTAAGCTACGATCTGGATGTGAAAAATGACTACTTTGAAATAGAATCGCAAAGTCTAGTTTTAAGAGAATATGGATCGAGGTATGATCTGGATATGAAAAATCAGTTCCTAGGAGCTTTGAAAAAGTCAATTTTAAAAAACTGTCATACAGTATATATCGGATGTAAGAAACTCAAAAAAGGTCGGAAATTTCTTTCTTATATGCGTTTTTTTCTTATATGGAATCATCGGATATAATAAAGTTGTTTCTTATAAGCGCACATACACATATAAGAAATGAAAGAAAGCGTGTTTTAAAGAAAAACATTTTATTAAACAAAAGAATACAGCATATAAAAATTCAAAATTAGTAATTTAAAATCAGTTCACAGTTTGACTAAAAATATGTCCATGTGTGTCCATAGCGAAAAAAAGTATTTTATTTTTCTTTGGACTAGGGAGTTATCACGCTGATGAAATAAAATATTTTCAATGTTAATAAATTGGCCAATAACCTTACACATTTTCTTATATGAAACGTTTTCAAATACCTTTGTCATATTTGGAGTTTGACAAGCATTTCTTATATCAGTGTTTTTCTTATATGAATCAATTTTTGCACTGAGGATATGTAAAATGACTCAGTGTTTTTGATAATCTTTTTTAAATGTGTTTTTTTCTTATATGAGATGTGCTTATATCCGATATATACTGTACCTCATTGTTGAATATACAGTAAAATTTCGCTAATCTGTACATTTGATTTCAGACACAAATTCAGATTTCCTTATCAGTGTAGTTTCTTGCACAACCCCTTCAGTGAAGAGGTCACACAAAACTCTAATCGATTTTTTAACCTCGGATGTTATCAAGGTCTAAACTCGTCTTGTATGAGTCCCATATTTCTTAAGCTTTCATGCATACTATTGAACCATTTTAAAAAGTTTACTTTTTTTCTCATATATCGTTTGTTCCCGTACTCAAAGAATCTACTATTAATTATTGCATTAGATTCTAAATTTAATTTCAACAAAATATAAACTGTATTCCAAAACAAATATTGATATGTATATCGACATTTGAGTGAAAATTATCATAGATGATTCTGACAATATTATAAAATATTGATTATTTGTCCGATATTAGACCGCATATACTACTTGGCGCCCATATCTCTTCTCATTTAAATTTGGTGATTTAAACCGTTTTTTATTAATATTTCTATTTAATCCCTTAAACATTATCCAATAGAGGTGTCGTCTTTGGCCGAGCGAAGTAATAAGTATATCAAACCTTTAATGATCTCAAATCAAACCTATTATGTCCTCACAACACAGTTAAGTAGTTGGTAAAAGTGTGTTCAAGAAATATATTTTCAAAATCCCAAATTCTTTGTCTAAGGACAATTTATATTTTTATATTTATGCCGGATTTTATAATTGTTCGTCCTGAGCGTATAGATAGGTCCAATGGATGCCCGTATTCTTTATGTAAACGACTCTCTATATAGTACTTATCATAGCCGTTCTAAAATTACTTATTTAAACTACTGCTTTCATAAGCAATACAGAGAATAATTACAGATTGAGAGACCTGTCTATTATCTTTCTGTCATGATCTTTTGTATTTGTCTTTCTGTTGTATGATTTATAAACAAAATTCTCTCTCTATCTCTTTAGTGTTGGCAATTCTCAGATATTACTTGTGTAGTAGTGTGGTGGTAAGTTGTTGGTGTGCAACTGCTGGCTCGTTTTGCTTTAAGCCATTTATTCAGACCCACTAAGCCTGGTTGTGTCTTTTATTCTGTCAGTGGCAGTTTTGTTGTTGTTTGTTCGTCCGGCTTCTAGTTCTATGTTGAGCTGAGCGTAGTGTATTCATCATTAGATGTGGTGTTGGTATTTGTTGCTGTTCTTGTACGATTCTCTTCTAGTTTAAGGTGAATGCACCCTCTTTCTCTTTTTGTTTAAGAAAAGAACAAAAAACTACCAATAATACGAAAAATCTACACGCATTTTCTAGTCCAGAGGTTTGCAATGGAGAAAATGTTGTTTAATAATAAAATAAATTTGCAAAAAAAGTAATAATTAACACCGAATATTTGCAAATCACGATGTTTAATTGTGAATAATAATGCTAATTTGTTTTATTTTGTTGCAAAGCAATATTGTTTTCAGTAGAACTTTGTTCTTTTAGTTGTTGTATCTGTTTTTTTTTTTTTGAATATGAAAAAACTGTTAATCTGACAACGAAGACGTCGCCGTATGTCGACTATTTCATCTTTTTATGGTTGCATTTCTTGGGATTTAAGAAAACAGGTTACATAAATGGGTCACTTCACATATTTTCCAACAGGTTAGTGTTTGCACTCCGTTGCACTTCCTGGTTTCGGTTTTGCTTGGTTGGTTGATTGAGTGCTTGGCTCACTGACTTGGCTGGCCGATAGTTTCGCACCGCTTCTCTATTGCATTTTTGGTAATTTTTTAATTCTGATTTCGAAATGATTTATTTACAGGCATAAAATTGAATTTGTTTTTCTTTTTATGGATTTATTAGATTTCGTATGTTTGCTTTCAACCTGTACTGGGTTTTTGCCATAATTTATTTTCACTTGAGTTATTTTCTGCGTGTACACTTTTTCTATTTCACAAAAATTATAAAAAAAACAACAAAGACCATTGAATTGTTGAAAAGAAGACGGACACCACGGTAAAGCCACTTTGCTGCCGTTGCGAGCAACAGTATGTTGGGAAGTATCTACACCTTTTTTCTTTTTTTGTATTTTTTCTTTCTTTTGTATAATTCTTGTTAAATTACTACTGCTATTGCTGCTGCTGCTTCTCACCAATTGGTTTCACTTAATGATTTCGGCCTTTGTTTCCGCTCGAAACAACTGAACACGACGACAGGTAAACTCACACTAAAATGTAACGTATTTTGAACGTTCGTTTGGCCTGCTTTGCCTGTTGTTATCTGTTGATTGTTGTTACTGGTAGCTCGTCTTCATTTCTCTTTAGCTTGGTTGTTTGTTTGACGTTTATTTTCAATATTCCATTATATTTGCGAGGGGTTAGGTTGCACAAGGGCCAATCTCTGGGGCCCCATAGCAAGTTCAATATATTATGTGGATGGATAAGGGCATAAATGCCCGCTGAAATTGATATTTTCCGAAAAACTAACTACTTTAAGTATTTGCATTTAAAAGCGTTTTTGGAAACACAATTTTAAGTATATTTATAATATTATACTACTTACTCCAGATTGAAATTATTGGTTTCTATATAATGAAATGATTTGCGACCAAAATAGTCCTACATATGTCGAAAAGGAAAAAACCTTTTGACTATAAATCTTTTGTATTCATAAAGATAAATTCAGTTCATATTTAAGTATAGCTTCATTCAAACTATAAAAAACGTAAATTTACATATACATATATATTTTTGGGTTTAGACTTATACTAGTCTGTTAGCCAACCGATTATAAATGATACCCAATAGGGATTTGACGCTTATTTTTCCAGTCGTTTATCAGTTGCAGTTTTAATCCTTTATATGGACCGTTCTCGAGTCATTTTTCGTTTGTGAGTCTGTTTATTTTCTTTTCGTTTTATGATTTCTTAATCATCATCCAAATTCAGGTTGGGGCCTAATATTTTAAAATTAATTCCATCTTCTGTTCCAGCCATGTATTGGTAAAGATCGTTGAATGGTGAAGTACATGTGAGAGCTTGTTGAGTAGTATAGAGAGAAAGAGCGAATCAATATTAACCGGCTAGTGGCACATGACCAAAATTGTTTTTAATATAACCGAATACAAAACCCGAAATGTAGTATCAAACAGTATCAGAGATCCAAATTTTCGATGAAAAATCTTGTTAACGGAGGGCAAACCCTGAAGTTATTTCTACCGCTATCCGGGATAATTTTTTTTTCTATATTAATGCACAATAAGGTTCAGAAATATACTAAATAGTGGGAATTCCAAACGGTCCTTTTGAGTACTATTAAATTGAGTTTCATAATTGTTTTATGTAAAAAAACAACTTTATAATGTTTCTAAAAAATAATTTCATTATTAGGGTATATGGGAAATTACAAAAATCTTTTAAATTCCTTGAAGCTGAGGTTTGCAAGGTTATAACTAGCGAAATATGAACATATTGCATATAATCTAAATTAATTTCTATAAAATGAAGTGTTCTTGTCAGAATCTTAAAATATTTGTAATAAATAATAAGTTGCGTGGAAGCTGTGATGGTGGTAATGTAAAAAATGGGTGAAAATGTGTTGAAGCCAACGAGTTTTTTTGTGTTCGTTCCTGATTTGTGGCTAAACTACACAACGCACGCACATGTGATCAGTGACTAAGTTGCAGAATACCCCATGGACAATATGGTTGTAATGTATGATTTTTCGATATAATCACTGCATCCACCCAAAGAGGATGCTGACATTTTGAAGCCGGATTTTCGGTGTTTTTTGAATTTTTCTTATAATTAGGATGCGCATCCAGATAATGGACTAAACTAATTATAGGATTATAGAACTCGTGATTTTGCTTCGTTTAGTGTATATCTCATGAATGTGTTCACGGTAGCTTCTTTGCAATTGGGTTCCAAAGACGAAAATTTGGTGCGTAAATATTTATAAAAAACATATTTTTTGAGTCTAAAATTAAGAAAGTCCATTCAAATTCCGTGGAACCCCGCGTGATTTTAGTTTTTTTACGTGCTGGATCTAATGAGACCATCCATGATCAATTCCGCCCAATAAAACGGCGGATATAGTTACCTTGAATGTGGAAAAAACTGCAAAAAAATTTTTTTGACAAATTCCCGTATATTGTGGAGGCACATCCGCGGTTCTTAACCGATCCTTTTAAAAAAAATGTGTATTTTCATAGGAGATTATTGAAATCGGATGCGCATAAAAATCGTGTGCACGTTGCGTGATTTTTAGCCATTTTTAGGGGTTTTACGTAGTAAAGTGCATCGAGCGGCACACTTTGACCGCTAAATTAAACATCGAAAAATTCATAATTATTGAAAGACATTGATTCGGTTTATACGAAAACCGCATGCGCATCAACTGATTTCAACTAATACGTGAATTACACGCTTTGCAATATTGATCATATTTATGTATTGTAACTGCAATATATTTAGTCATTTTTACAGTCGAAACTGTTATCAGATGAATACACCGATATTTAACAATCATCTAAAAGAATTTGAAGAAAAAAGCGTCGCATATTTTAGAAGATTAAGGCAAAACCGTAATCCCCTAACCATACAAAAAGAAAAAAAAATCGAAAATTCAAAAAAAAAAAAACATTTCGATTTAATTAAAAAATTAATTTATTTCATTTTCAGATATCTTCATGCTTCTATTTGTTTTTTGCGACGATTTAAAAATATTTCAATGTGATTTGACAAGTATGCAAAGAAAACAAATGTGTTTTACCATTTGTGAAGAAATTCGCGAATTACAACAAATAGGAATTCATTTAATTTATATTTGAAATACAAGATTTAAAACCGCTATAACTTTTGTGCGCAGCATCCGAATTTGTGAACGCGTACATATTTCGAATCAGCATATTTTTCTTAACCTATGTACCAAAATTCATGAATGTGCTCGCAAAAAAAAAATGTTCAATTTTTTTTTATGGAATTTTAAAAGAATTTTGTAATTTCCCATATACACTTGAAGTGAAAATTAACTTATTTCATTAATAGTGAAATGTTGAAAGATAGGTCTTATTCTACTAGTACCTCCTTTACAAAGGGGGAAGATATTAGAGGGAGTTGTACATATCATATGAAGCGAACAGAGTATACAATTTTAACGATATTTTTACCGTAACGTAATATTTTTACCGTACTGAAACTATGTCGGAAGGTAGGTCCAGGTCTACACCTTCTGGTACCTCCCAACCAGTATAAATATTTTTTTGAATTTTTGTGTTTCACTATCGAAAAAATTAAAAAAGAAATACATTTGCTTTTTTAATGACTAAGGACTTTTAGAAAAAATCTGAGATTATTTAATTTATATCAAAACATTTATTAACATATACAGTCCAATTTGTTCTTTCTCTAAACTTCAATAATAAATAATTAGAAAATTATCAAACGGAATAATTTTTTCTTTTTAATACTTTCCCTTTTCTACAGAGTAAATTTACGAAAATAGGTCATACAACCTTTCAATAAAATCCATTTAAACCTTGCTTGATTATATTATGGAGCCCAGTTTATATATGTATATGTTTTCCAAGTATGTACTCCAAATAGTTAGATCGCTTTATGCATGGAAAATTGTCCAGTATTATAAACATTTTTAGAAATAAAAAATCGAATTTGAATTCACATTTCCCAAATGTATTATTCTTGATATTTTTTTTTTTTAATAAACAAATTTACAAAAAACATTAAAAATTGCATTATTATGCAATTTTGCTACAATTCATCTTTGAAACTCTTACTCGCCATCCTTGCGTATATTAAAGACATAGACTCATAATTCATCCCATTACTCTTTTATAATTCAAACAAAAATATATTTTTGTATTTTATTTTAATTTATTGTTTTTTCAATAAAGTTTATAGATTTACATTTCATTTCAAAATCGTCTCAATTTTAAAAGTTTTTTTTTCATAAAACCAAAACGACTTTATCTTACTTTCCTTAAACACATTGGAAAGAAACAAAGGATAACTCGGATATGAAATACAGAAGTATTATTCGGGAGGGGAGGAACATAATTGGTCAAATAGACTACAACTTTAGGGGGAAAATTCAATTCATAATTTCACAATAAATAATATATTGTTTTTTTTTTGAAAGAAATCTAGAAAATTTAAAGAAAATCTATGCCGGTTATACTTCACAAATGTTATCTTTTGTTTGTTTTTTCATTTTTTCTTGGTTCACACGTGTTCTCATTATAACTAAAAACTACATCTTACAAAAATAAAGCAGAAATTAGGTGTCTAATAAACAAATCGCGCACATAGCGCTCACTCATTAAATTAATAATTAAAAGTTAAAACATATTAAGAGGAAATTAATGGTACGGTCGTTTGTTGTGGTTAAATTGTCCCCAATCCTGGCGGTGAAGGCAGTTTGGTAGTTTCAGCAGAACTTCCAGCGATTGCCGCAAGCGTTGCACATTACGAACGTAGTCATAGGTTCATCAGAAGAACGTGTCTGCAGCTGATTGTAGGTGCAATCACGTTTCTTACATTTACCACATTTGAGCAGATCTGTTTTGGTGCCCTGGACTGTAGCCAATTGAGCGTCGTTAATTGCCTCTTTCACGAACTTCTCGCGCAGTTTCTTCATTTCGTCGCTTGCCATTTCTTCCGGCGTCATTTTGGCCAATTTCTGTGCGGTAATAGCACCGCACATGTAATTGCCACGCAGCGTAGGGTTTTTGGGATCTTTCAAGTTGGCTACACGTGAGCGTATGCGATTTTTGTACTTCATGTCGGTGTTTTTGAACTCGGAGTAAATGGCTTCTTCCAATTCGGCGGCCATTTCTTCGGGTTCGGGACAACCTTCGATAGGTTCACCCACTTTAAGGGCGTTGCAGAGCATTTCACGGCACTTTAGACGTACAGCGTCATGTAAGCCCGAAGATGCCGGGAAAGAGGTCTGTGAGGATTTACGGTCATCCTTGCTGGACGACGACGATGAGGAGGATGATTTCTTTTCATCTTTTTTATCTTTGGATGAGGATGATGACGAAGACGAAGATTTGTCCTTGTCTTTACTAGATGAGTTCGACGATTTACTCGATTTGCTAGATTCCTTTCCACCGGAAGCGGGTGGAGCTAAGAAACGCTTCCAACTTTTGATAAGTGTTTTGGCTAGAGCTATGACCTCTTCATCCTTGCTACTCTTCCGCAATTCATTGACAGTCATGCCAATGCGTGTCTTTGTTAAGATTTCCAGATTTATGTTTAAAGACTGCAACGCTTTCAATAAATCCAGTGCCTGCTCCTGTCCCTGTGTTTAACAAAATAGATAAAAATCGGCATTAGGATCCGTACAGTGTGTATGAAAACATTGCTTGTTTGAGAAGCACTGCTTGCGCTGTTCTGTTTCGTAAAAGGCGGCTGTACCTCTCAAAACAAACAGACACAAGAAGGCGCTTTTTTCTTCTTCATGCGCTCAGCACTCGAAAATCGACCGCATTATCTACTCCAAAAGTTGTCATTTATTTTTTGCAGTGCTGAATGCACGTTGGATTCTTCAATCACTTACGGTGCCGTCATCGGTTGTGATTTTGCCCATCTTCTTTTGTATTTTGAAAACTTCTTCTTCGACACTCATTTTGCAAAATTAAATTCAGCTAAAAAACGACTTGTAAACCTCGATACTTAGTAAATAGCCTACACTTCAATCTCCACTTCGCTTTTTTTTGTGTATTGACAACTGGATTGGTGTTGCCATATGTCAACAACATGTGAACCGAATTGCCAATTACGAAAATGGGGGAAAATAGAGAGAACCAAAAACTCGTGCTGCCAGAATATTTATTCAATGATATGGCAATGCCGCAATGATATGACGTAAAGCAGAAAAATTGTTCTAGAAATTCAAAGGGAATATATAAAAACAATTTAATTGTTAATTTACTGAAAAAATATAAATATTAGTTCCGATGCGATCTATACTAATATAATAGGTAGAGATTTATATTTTCTGATAGCAAACGTCATATACTACCGATATCGCGGTAAAAGCCATGATAAAAAATACTAGATATCAAGCAATTTAAAAGACAAAATATGCACCTATCGCACCTATTTGACATCATACGTGAATAATTTTGCAATAGTTCTCTTCGTTTGCTCCATGGCGTGGAAGTGGGAGATTTATATACGGCACTTAGGATTATAAGAGACGCGGTTTTATCTTGAGCCTTTTCCTAATACGAGTGTCACTAGGATATAGTCCCCTGATATTGAAATTGAATTAGGGATTACGGTTGGCAATGCGTTGTTCAAGTGGTAACGCCAAGGTATATTTAATAAGGTAGCCGCATCGGGCCAGCTGTTGGACAAATAAATGTCAAAAATGTTGTTGTAATGTTGAACCAAAAAATTAAAAAACAAAATTATAAATGAAAATCTCCGAATTTCTAATAGCTTTTTTGGCAATACTTTTATTAACAGTTTCTACAAGAATTTGTGTAAAAAAATCTTGCCAATCTGTTTGTTTTGGCAAAATATTTTTGACATATCAAAATACAACAACCGATGTTTGTTGTAGAAATTCGCCGATGCGGCTACCTTGTATATCTACCTTGGGTAACGCCATCATATGGTTCATAAATCACAATAACACCTTCAATGAGTAATCATTTCGCTGTGGATATCACTACGAGTGTAATCATTTTGCAGTGGATAGCATTTTCTTAGTTCTCCCTGTTCATTGAGTGAATAGTTGCATTGAACTAATTCATTGCGGATTCTAGGGGACACATAAATATTTGGAAATCGGAAAAGTTGAGTGAAATGATGAATAGTTTATGTAAGCTGATACCCTGTGCATTGGCTAGTGCCACAAGGCAAAGTCAAAACACCATCAAACGTTGTTATGGTAAGTATTTGTCTGATTAAAACCCGGCTAGAATGACAGCTGATTTATGCATGTGTTATTTAACTCTTGATCACAACTTGCCCCTTCCTCCTCCTCCTCCTTTATATAGCTGCTCCAATCAAGCGATTTTATAAACAAACATCTGTCCTATATAATGATGGTAAATATGAGGTAACTTTGGATCAACGTAAACTGAAAACACCCAAAGGAGCATTGTTTACGGTTAAGAGTGAACCATTAGCCATTGCCGTTGCCACAGAATTCAATAATCAAAAGGAACACATTGAAAGGGCCAAGATGCATTTATCTGCCCTTTGTTTTACGGCGATTGATAATCCAAATAATCACAGCAAAATTGATATGGTCAACTATTTGCTGAACTATATACCAACAGACACCATTCTGTTCCAGTATGATGATGAAAAAGATTTACATGATTTGCAACGCAACGAATGGGATCCTTTGATTCAATGGTTCAATGAGAGATATGGCACTCAACTTGAGAAAACAATGGATATTACACCGCCAACAGTTTCCGCCGAAGATAAAATGAAAATTTCCAAATATTTATTGTCCCACAGTGAAGATGTCCTATATGGTAAGTTAAAAATACATTGAAAACGTGAATACAGAGATTAATCTATATATTAATTTTTAGGCTTTGTTTTTGCTGTCGATACCCTAAAGTCAATTATTTTGGCGTTTGCTGCCATAGACCAACGCATTTCTGTGGATAAGGCTGTCACATTGGCACGCTTGGAAGAGGAATATCAATTGAAATTTTGGGGACGTGTAGAATGGGCTCATGATCTTAGTCAACAAGAATTACAGGCCCGGTTAGCAGCGTCTGTACTTTATGTTCATCTCAACCGGTCGGAGTATTTTAAAAAAGAGAAAACCATCATCTAAATACTTCTTTGAAACAATTTCAATGAAATTCTTTTATATTACTTGTAGATATGTATTTTGTTATAAAGTTCTGTTATGACTGTATAAAAAAAATAACAACACAAGAAAACAAGAACTTATTTATTCATTAGAGAAACACCAATGTTGTATTCTTAAGGGGATAGAAGGCAATTTAAAATATGGAACAAAAGTAGATCTAACCAATTCTTGGGGTTATATATTTAAATTTTTATGGAAGAAAAACATTTGCGTACTCTTATTATTTGTATTAAATTAATTTTCGGTCTGTACTGAAATTTTCACTCTTACCAGGAACGTAAAAATACTTTTGCTTAAGTTTTGGGTGTTAAACCATGTTTATGGTGCCAATTCCAGATTTTCATTTAGAGCATGTTGTCAATTCCTCATGCAATCAAATCTATGGCCTTTCTCAAAATTTAAATCTTATGTGATGTATATATTTATTTGTAAGATTTCGAAATATGCATAGTTCTAAAATGTACCTCCTGAATGAAGGTTAGAAACCCATAGAAATGAGTCCATACCACTTTTCTTCTCCTGTGTGCATATTTCGATTTGTGTTGATTACCAGTAACCCTAAATAAAACAAGTTTTTTGATTTGCATTTAAATTTGTTAAAAATTTTATTTTTTTCTTTATTGCATTATCAATTTTTTTTGTATTATTTTTTCATATCAACGTACTTTTTCGTTTTATTTTTTTTTCTTATATTTCTGCTTGAATTTGGTAATCAGCATTTTTGTTTTGTTTTCATATATATGCATTTATTATATAATTACTATTATTAAGTTTTGTTGCTTCTTTTTTCTTGTTTTTAAATAATTTAAATAAAAATTCAATTAAGTAGTTTTTGTTTTTCTGTTTTTTGCTAAAATATATACTTTTGTAATGAAATTGGTTCTTCAAAATGATTCATAAATAATTAATTTATTTATCGTCATCACCGTTGACAACTCATTAGCAGAGTTTCAAGAGATTTTGTATAGCATCAGCGATTATATGTATAAATATTATTATAAAATAATTTACTAAAACAATAAAATCTTAAATTAAAACTAAAATTTTTCTTACGTAAAAGAAAATATCATAAGAGTCATTTTGAATATTATCATTATATTGTTGTCCTAGTATACAAATATTTATATGTATATATCATTGCATTTACATATATATTCTTATTAAAAAATAAAACAAACGGAAACAAGTCAATTAAATGAGAAGTTAAGAGGCGAGGCGAGGTCGTCTTTTTGTTGTTCTTGTATATAGTTAAATTAATAATGTGATTTTTTTTAGTTTTGATTTCATTTTTGTGTTTTTGTTTTAAATATTTCGATTATAAAGTTCGGTTGTTGTTGTTTGGGTTTTCGGTTTTGTTATTTTGTAAGGTTTGGCCAAAATATTCAAAGAGATAAGCAATAATTGCGAGTAACCGGTCTTAGAATATAACCAGGGGGATACCATTTTTAAAATTCGTTTAAGTTAAGCCTTGTCATAGTAGAGCTATGAGTATTTCTGAGAAAGAGACAGAGGTGGATTTCGGAAGGTGGAAAAGTGTTTCGAATGAAATTGATGTTGTGAAATTCATTTGTGAATTACGATTAAAATGTTATATGAATTTTGAATTCGATAAAAAAGCAAATTAAGAAATGCCTACACAAATTAAAAAAAGCTAGCCTTATGTCATGAGATTCACAACCTAAATGAGATGCGGCGCTACATAGATGTTCTTTATAAAATTTAAACGAATGACTTGCTAGGCTTCTGAAATGCAAATATTAGTGTTTTTGATGTAAAATATTGGAATTGAGAAATAATCATTAGAAGTATATATTGAAAAAATGTTTAAATCGAGACAAACCATCATCAAGTCCAACTTGTCTTTTGAAAATCAGTTTTCTGGCATAGTGGTTAACCCATTGTGAAATAAATTTCGGGTAATTGTTAATAGCTTCTATGTAATAGTAAAACCTTTCGAAAATTGATCCATTTAATTAAGAATTAAAGAGGAATGTATCAGGGTATTTAAAATACATTTTTGAGTTGTCTGTGGACATACAAGGATTTGCAGATTCAAACATTTCGTATTGTATATATTTTGTAAAATATTTGAAATGGTACCTTTTGCTTACGAGAAGTACTAAGTGGAAATGGGAAGAACCATTGAAAAATTGTTGATGATATTGAAATTTTGCTTAATTACTATCAATCATTCTTATGTAAGAAATGTTGTACATTTCAGGCAGAAAATTCACATTCGTGTTTAGTTTTTGAGAATCTTGGAAGTTGAATTTTGGAGAATCCTTTAGTGTAGGAACTTAAAGAAAAAATATTCAACATTTTGAATATATAGGTTTTCTTATTCCAAAAAGTTACGTATGATACATGAATTAGTACTAAGAAAAAAAACGATAATCGAATTCACAAATCCTTCTTATAAAATAAGACGACGTTTGGACAATCGAAGATGAAGTTGTATCGTTGGGGTCTATTCATTTGTATGTCATTATTTTCCAGACGAACCAATTTGCTTAGAATTCCTAAGGTCATTAGGACGGATGTGAGGGTTATTAAGCCAATTGCATGATAGTGTTTCTGTTTCCTTACGTTATTTGGAGAAAAAGCCAATCATTTTTTTGGTTTAAAATGTACCTAAATTTGTAAATGATTTCAATAATTAGGAAAGTTTTATAAAAGTTGGTCATTGTTTTGTTTTTTAATTTTAATTTTATTTCAAAATGAGTATTGGAATTTGTAATTTATACACAGCATAAAATAAACTTATTTTTTTAATTTAGTTGTTTTCGCCTACTTAAATTAATTGTTATTACTATTACTTGTTTTTTTTTAGATAAAACGAACTAAAATTTCTAAAATTAAGCTAAAAAGAATTAATTTATTCATCTAAACATCAAATAAAAATATATGTAATTACAAAGAACAATTTTCCAAAAAAAAAATCATTTAAATAAAGAGGAAACATTTAGTTATCACTTTTGTGAGTGACTGAGTGAGTGAATTTGTTTGTTGTTTTAGTTTGATAAGATTTTTTTTGTAATAAGAATTTGTTAATTTGCTAAACAGTTTTTTTTTTTAATGATCGCTTTATGAGTTATGAGTTAAGGCTGAGCCTTGCGCATTTCATTTCACTTCATATGCATACATTTCGTTAGTATTTGAATTTGGTTGTTTTTTTTTTGTTTGTTTTTGAATTTTTTATAATTTTGTTGTTGTCATTATTTGCTTTTTTACTAATTAATTTATTTATTAATATAACAAAGTAATCGTTACTTATGCTGATATGCTACAATACAATTAAAAAAGCCTAAAAACTAAAGCTTCTTAGAAGCTGAACTTAATAAAAAGCCTTTTTTGTCATTATGTTATGGTTGTTGTTGTTGTTCTTTGTTTTCCTTATGTTCTGTTGTCATCTGTTAATATGCAATGATAACGGTTTTGTAATATAATTATTATTATCATAAATATTGTTTTTTCTCTTTTTTTTTTTGTTTTTTACATTACATTGTGGTGTTGTGTATTGATTAATAAAAAGAACTAAGGAAATTATTTAATAATAAAACAAAAAATATTGGAACTTGAATTTTAGAATCAATTGCTTTTTAGAATAAACACAGTGTTGCAGAAAACATTTGCATGTCGAACGGAAATATAGAGAATATTCCGATTTTAAATGCATTTTAAATATTGGGAGAGGTATACGCCTCAAAAATGGATCCGATAGTTTAACATCATTTTCAAGGCATGTATAAGGTCGGACAGTAAGGACAGCTGAGTATTAAGTTTAAGTTTCAATTTTCGATTTTGGAAAAGTATGACATGAGAATTATTTACGGTATTAAATAAGAAGTTAAATTTGTCAACTTGTTCTCAGTTGTGAAGACCAAATTAAAAATTTAATTTTAAAATGCAATGCTTTTTTATTCTTCAATGTAGCTGACCTTCACAAAGAATGACAAAAGTCACATTCCGGGAAACATTTCCGAAAATATCTCCCTTTTTACTTGTTCACAATCCAAATTAATTTCCAAACAGCGAATTTGACAGTTTGACTGTTTATGCAAATGTTTTTTGGGCAACACTGCATGCATTGAGATTTGTATTGAAATTGAAATGCGAATAAAATGTGTAATTTTTTTTCGAGCTTGATTATTTTTTATGGTAGTGGTGGTTGTTTGTATTGGTTGTATTTTTTTAAACTTATGCGAGTAATCATTATTTGTTTGGTTTGGTTGTAATGCAAACATATTTACATAAATTGCCTCAAAAAAGTTTATTTTGTGTTGAATTTTTGTTTTTTGTATTAATTTTAAATGGGAGTTTAGTTGTTGTATTTTAAATATATGTTGCTGTTGATTTTCTGTTATGGTTTAATAAATTTGTTTAAATTATTAACAATTTACCTAAAGTAACCAGTTGTGTATTTGTTTTGTTTGAGGTTATGAGTTATTCATTCGCTTTCGCATTCAATTCATGTAACAAAAATAACCGTTATATTCCTCTGTTTTGGGTTTCTTTTTCTTTGTTATTATTATATATGTATATATAAAACTAGGCTTAGTTTAAGTTAAATTGAATAATATTTTTTCATGTTGTTGTTTTTTGTCCAGCATTTGAATCAAATGCCAGTTATTTTTTTAATTTTATTTTTTCCTTAATTTGTTTTTACTGTTTTAATACGTATGTATGTCTGTATGTATTTGCAATTATTTATATCGAGATTGAGTTCTTTTAAGCGGTAATCAATTAGTTTTATTTGTTTTTTATTTTTAATAAATTAAAGTAAATAACAAAATAAACAAATATATTTGTTTGTATATAGCTCAAAATTGGTAAATTTTTCTTCATTTGTTTTTGGGATATATGTATAACATCTTCATCTTATTTTTGTTTTGTTTTTCTTTTTTATATTATTTAATGAGAAAATAAGCTGTTCTTTTTTTGTATTTTTTGTTGTTGTTGGGGTAATGAACTGGCGGCTAGTTGAGTTTTCACTTTTATATAGTTTTGTTATAATTTTTCTTTGTTTTTGTGTGTGTGTATTCAGAATTTTTTTATTCCTGATTCTACCTCATCATTTCATTTAATAGTTTTGATCATTCATAGATTAAATAGTGCTACAAAATTTGGAAGAAACAATTCTGAAATATAAAATAATTTTCAAAATATTTTAAACATGTTTTTATCCATAACATTTAAACGAATTAAATTAAGTTTTCTATAATTTTTTTTTTTTGAATAAACAGGGCATCACTTTTTGTCTAGTGATGCCAATATGATTCTTCTTCTTAACATTTGTTTAACTTTTGCCAAGTGAGATTTTACTAGCAAATTTTTATTCGCCCCTTTTCGACTTCAGTGTATCCGATTCGATTTTCTTCCAATATTGTAGCACAATTTGATCTACATCCAACTATTTTTATTAGTGATGGTGATTGGTGTTTTTAATGTTTTAAATGTATGTCCTTTACCTATACATAATTATTATCTTTTGCTACAGTTGTATTTTCTTCTGCTTCTTGAACTTGTTGTGATTTAATTAATTTTTTGTTTTTATAAATAAATAAAAAATACACGCGCCTTTATTGCTCAGCTATAGTTTTCTGTGTTCAACAAAGTTGTTGATGTTATTCTCATTTTTTTTTAATTTTTCTTGGAATATAATATTTTACAAAAACAAAAAGAAATTTCAATAACAAAATTTTATCTAAAGTTCATTTACTAAATAATTTGATGTTCTATGGTCTTCAGTTTCCCTTGATTACACTTGTGACTTGTGTGTATGTTTGTTTTTATATACTTTGTAGTCCTTGCCGTTGTAATATTTTTGTTCTTGGTTGTTTCACTTTGCTTACACTTCCGTGTCCAGTATATTAGCATAGCTCTCCTCTACAAATTTTGGTGCAATAAAGTCTTCATAGTAGTTAATAAAGATCTCCTTGTACTCGTCCGGTATGAATTCCAGAGCGTGCAGCATTTGCATTAGCTCCTTGTCGCCGCACTTGTAATTGCTCAGGGCCATGACGTCCCAGAAATAGGACATGTGTTGAACATATTCTAGACTGAAGACACGATGCTGAGCCGCCACAATATGTAAAGCACTTCGCATTATAGAACCCAATTTATTCAGCTCCCATTCATCTAATGGTTTTGTACCCTCTGTCATGTTGTGGAGGTGGTGTGGTGGGTAGTGGGTGGTTCGTAGATGTACCAAATTTGGAATTAAAAACAAACATTGATTAGTTAATGTATAATACTCTACAATTTTCAATTATGTTTTTATGTACTATGTATTTGAATTTTTCCTGTTTAGTTGTGTGTATAAGTTTTTTCGAAATATTTGTTTTTTTTCAGTGTTGTATTTTATAGCGCAAAAAAGCATAGGGCGGAAACAAACCTAGTTTTTTGGATTTAATTAAAATTTATTATTAGATTGAAATTGAAAATCTAGCAAATTGTAAAGTTAACTTGTTTGGAGTGATTGATTTTGAAACTGTTATGATATTTATACAGTACGATGTTTAAACTCTAGATAAAGTCTTTAAATAAATAATTATTTAACTTGTCTTAACTTGGCTATGTACACATATGTAAACTAAACTACACTAATTGTTTTTGAAGTAATGATGGCGTAAAATATTTCATAAATATTCTTTTTTTGTTTGATTTTGTACGATTTTCACATATTCGATTTGTCATGAATATAATTTTATGACAACATTTTATGGAACTAATAAAATGTAGCCTAGGTGTTTAAAAAGATATGTTGTCTAATATATTATCCCATAAAAATAAATATTTTATTAAAAATATTTTATTGATATAAAAGTTTATTTTACAACTCGCATATTGATGTTTTATTAGTCGGGCAGTCAAGTATATAAATTTATTATTTATTGCGGAAGATTCAGGGCGTATTTATCTATCTCTCACAAATATTGTAGATCTAGATGTATGGACCTAGTATGACAATGTCAGCTCTACAGGCTTTAGTATATCTTACATTTCCAATCTAAATGTGCCTAATATGAAATTCTCATGGAGAGGGTATCGCTGATGAAGTTATTATATTGATGTAGAGCATAAATCTCAAGAATCTATCCTTGGTTTCCAATAGGCTTAGACGGATAACTACTTGTTGATAAATACCGACTTTTAGACTTTTCTATTTTTCTATTTTTGCTTCTGACTAAAATGTCGATTTCTAGAGTTTTCGATTTTTGCCTTTGACTAGAATGTCGACTTTTCGATCTTTCCATTTTTTCAAACCCATTCAAAATCAATTTTCGACTTTTACCGACTAATGCAAAATCTACTGATTTGTTATATGAATTGTTGTCAACAGATAAAGTATATTTCTGGAATGTGCAATTTTTGAGCAATATGAGCTTCGTGATAATAAACCAAGTGTTTGTGAAGAAAATCGATCTGGAAAGTCGACTTTGCGATTACATATTTAAAGATTAAAGGTCGACTTTTACACTTTTCAATACATAAAGTCGATTTACTTATCCCTTTTTTGAATGTGTTAATTTAGCAAAGTGCTAAACATAGCACGACATCATTTAATCTTCGGGATACTGCCAATTATATGAGAGATATACCGAAACGTATAAGATATACCGCAACGAGGTTTACTGATATTTACAGCCTTAGACTACAGAGGTTCTATTTGATATGTACAATAGCTATTTATGTTACTGCTACTCCCCATTCTTACATATGGCTCCCTTGTACGGTGGCAAGGGTCAATAAGCATACACTGCTGGCCAAAATGAATACTGTACAGCGATTGGTGCTAAGAAGCACACTACAGCAAGCCTTGAATCTCCAACTACTGGATTTTCTGATTAAATTCTAGGCTGCAAGATGTGCCCTGAGGCTCCGTGAAACGGATGTCTGGAAGTCGTTGAACTTTGGCCATGATACCTAAACACAACGTCAACGTTTTAGAGAGGAGTACTCACTTCAGCGACTATACTCCCTCTCATAACGACTTTAACGATATTCCAGTAGAGTTTCCTAGAGCTACTGCGACGTAGTCGGCAACAGATGGCCAACAGAACCTGGATGTACGATTTCAAAAACCATCTGGTTAAAATGCTCTCGCCGTAGAACTTCTTCGCTGCTGTCTCATAGTAAGAGGGAGATAAAATCCACTCAACGGAGTGGATTATTAGTTCCTATGTGAGGATGATGGAGAGTTGAAAACAATTGAACATATTGATATGTTGGATAACTATTCAAATATCATCCTTACTAAGTTCGAAGATGAACAGTTTGGTTGATACCATCTGTTGTCTCTCATACACATTGTAGGAAAATCACTATTTTCCTGAAAAGCTATAGTAATGGAGCTTCTTATTATTTTAGCTTTTCCCTTTCTTTATTGTCTTCTCTATATTCTTCGTAGAAATGTAAAAAATTTGGATACTACAAATACCCAGCCTTTATTCAACATATGTACAATTTTATGAAGTATGAATGTATGCATGTATATATAAATGACAACTTTTTTGTTTAGTTTTTCAAATTTTTACAAATGTAATTTCTTTCGATTACCACATACGTTTTTTTACACCACCATCACATTATTTTCTCTATAAAATTCAGTTATTAAAATTGTTTCTCTGTGTAAATACTTTTTTTAAATATTGAATATGTTGTGTTCAATAACGAATTAGTTAGGGGGACGCACAAATAAATAAACTAGAATTATTGAGTACAAAGAAAACTGCTTATAAGGATTAACAAAAATTACTAGCGAATTGTTTATAACCTAAACTAGATTTAAAAATTAAACTACAAATGTAAGAGGAGAAGAAAAAAAAATAATTATGAACTAGCGATTCTACTGGTTGAGTTGTTCGTATATTTTTATTTTTTCTGTAATAAAAATTACTTCTATGTTGTGTAAGAACAAAATATGGCCACACTACTTTTGGTATATATTTACGAAGAATACAAATGTTGTTTTGTTTTTTTAACTGTTCTTGGTTTTGAGTATGTATATGTTTGTGTGTATGTGTGTGAGTGTTTCTGACTGGTTAAATACATAAAGACAAAAATTAATATTTTTTGCCAAGGCTCTTTCGCTATCACATACCTCTGTGTATTAACAAACATTGTTCGACTAATTGTCGGGCCAGTGCTACCTTCAATTCGTGAGTGTCCACTAGTTGCGCATCGGCCCGCTCGATAGCCGCATACAATTTACAACGTTCTTCGATGGTATCACAGTCCATTAGCGCTGCCGTAAATGTCCAAAACCATTCGAGTTTTTGCGTTTGATCGCACACCGTGCAGACCAACAGTTCGGAACCATTGTTTTCGGGTCGGCGATAATAGTCCGACTTCCACCATTGCAGATTACGGGTGCGTTTCAGGTTCGAAGGTGTAAATATTTGTTTGCAGTTTGGATTATCACAGCGGTAACGATGAAATTTATGCTGAAAGTTTGGTTTGGGAAGGTCGTAATGGTTTCCGAATATGTATGTATTTTATATATATATATATATATATATGGTATGTATATAAGAGGGATATATATGTATAAATGAGTGTGATATTACAACAGTAAACAAATATAATACAACAGTTATGATGATGATGTGAGTAAAAATAAAACACATACATATGAATATAATGAAAAAACCTAAAAAATATATGATCTCGAAAGTGTTGATACCCTACACCACTTTAACTATTCGCAGAGGATCTGAGAAAATCCTATTTCGTGGAATAGGTCTACCTTGTATTTTATTTTTTTGTTTCATAAATATGACCCGAACACCACGAAATTTTACATTCTGGCCACAGTATAAGCATGACTACTTTGATAAAGATATGTCAATTTTTAGCAGGTCAAATGGAGCCAGCCTTTTTGAACATGGAACGGCAAAGTGGACAGTTTATCCAAGAGGAGTGACCTTTAAATTGATACCAATATGGCTGTATGTACTCGCATTTTCATATTGTTTAGTATTACTATTACCATACAAGAGGGCGGAAATGTAGCGCTGATGGCTAGGAAATTTGAGTTTCGTCTTGACCGGTTATGGTCAAGACGACGCCTATAATTATCGGTGATGTTGAGCTGATATTTAGGGGGTGCAATGAACTGGAAACTGTATTTACTTTATTAGGGAGACCTGACCAAATACTTAGAACGGTTGTTTAGATGGTGATCGGTCAATACTCCGAGAGTCAAATCAACCAAAACCTAAAGTGACCAAATTTTTATTTTTATTATAAAAGGGTGCAAATATTGCCCAGACTCAGAATATAAAACCGTAGATTTCCGTAAACATTTTGTAGGGTTTCATATGATCGTCCCCGTCCGACTATACTGCCTCACTTTAGAACTGAACCTGGAGAGTTGAAATTGTAGATTTTTATTAGAAATACTTTTGTAGAAACAATTAATGGGGAATTCTTGAACAATTTTTTTTGTAGGTACAAACATATATATTATCGAATTCGAACACATTTTGAACTTCCCAACATAAATATATAGTTATATATATATATATATATATTATAGTTATTTGTAAAAGAACATTATAATATATAACTCTAATTTTCTGGAGAATATTTTTGGAAGGATTTTCCAATATGTAAACCATTTTACTTGTAATCAAGACAATGAGATATTTAATCTTAGGTTTTTATGTATATATATAGAAAGAATGATGAATATTTTATTTTTATAAATTTGTTCGAAGGATTTCCAGAGATTATTCATGGATTTTTTTGCAACATTTTTAGTAAAATTATAATCGTGATTCCTTTCCTTGCCTAGTGGTGTAGGACATATTTGGACAATGGTCGATCATTTCATAAACATAAAATGTGGATGATTTACAACGAAACGTAAATGAGATAAACAGTGGAGGGCAATCACAAATAATAAACAAAAACACAAAAACAAAACAAAAAACACCAAAGAAGATAACATTCATACGCTATACAGGAATGCCATTCATCAATCAAGAACTCATAGCTAGTTTCCTCGTTTAAACATGGAACACGAGATAACATTCGATCCAAAAAAGAACACATCGAGAAGATTTATATATTTAAGATATATATGTTAAGTATGTATGTATGTACGTACGATAATAAGTTAATATAATTAGACAATATTCAAAAGTAGTTAGAGGTGTTATCATTGATCAATCAATTAAACCATTGGAACGACAAGTAAAGCATTCGCATTTAACACATTTTTGTGGTGTATGTATATGTGTGTGTGTGTGTTTGTTTGGGTTTCAGTGTATGTGTGTTTATATTTGTGTACAATTACAATAACAATTAGTTAGTAGTGTTTATTTGAAAGCACATCGTACTTTTATTGAAATTTCCACCACGTCCAATTCCATAAAAAAAACAACAATTAAAAGACGGGAAACCAATTGAAAGAATAAAACCAAAGGGATCCAAATATAATGATATAGCATGTATGTACTATGGATGTATGTGTTGTTGTTTATAATGTTATATGACAACACCAAGAGACACCAAGAGAAATACACAATTATAACACACTAACACATTATTCCACCATATAAGTATGTTTTTTGTTTTGAAATGTGTGTGTATGTTTTTTTTTTTATTTTGTGATCATCTAAGTCGCGTTGTGTGACGTTGACGTTCGATTGGTTGGTTAGTTGGTTTTTTTGCTAATTTATTGGCAATACTTACAAAATCCTCATCGGGATATGGACGAAAACACTTTTCGCATTTGCAATCAATGCCTCGTGCTGACAATTCCAATTTGCGATGGCTATACAGCGATTGTCGATAGTTCCCACTAACGAAACAGTTACAAATGCAGGCATCTGCTGGTATATCACTGGTCGCATAGGCGGTCAGCTTGCAACCGTTGATCTTGCGATAAATCATATCGGCACAGGAGTGGCGGCAGTGGCTCAATGTCTGGGGGAATACCGCATAGGCTACGGTTGTCACGTCGCCGGCCACCAGATGCAGATAGCCGCGACGCACGTGTCGCACCGTTTCCCACAGCGAGAACTCATCGTTGGGCGAGAGGACATGAGGATCGGCGGGCAGCACAAAGGATGGGCAGTGTATGAGGTTTTTGTGCCGCAGCTGGCATATGTGGCGCAACAGCAAAGCCGACGCGAGCAATTCCCATTCCTGGCGCGTCAGCTTTGCTGCTGCGGGCATTGTCAGCTCGAGTAGTTCGAAGAAATCGGTATATTCGCCCAAGTAGATGGCGAGTATGTGTGCGACAATAGCAAAGGAGACCATACTGGGTTTCTCCTCTTTATCTAGGTGCGATTCGAGGCGCAGCAGTGCTGAGTAGGAGGTCGACGAGGCAGCTAACGAGGTGGACGAAGAGGTGCAATTGCGTTCGGTTAATATGCTATTGAAGGCGTTCCACATTTTGCTGACTGTGGGTTTTTTGCGACAGTGTGGCACCACTTGGGGCAGGCCATTGATGAGCATGCGAAAGGCGAGCTGCAGCAGCCGCGGCTTCGAGAACTCAACGCCGAACTCCTCGAACAGTTCGATCTGGTGAGCGTAGCATTCGAGAGCATGTATGGAAGCGTGTGCCGCTCGGCACTTGCGTGAACAATAGACGGCTGTACGATTAGAACAGAAAATGCATGGAAATGGTACGAACTGTGTGATGCCACAGTGATCACAAACTCTCGCCGCTCCGCTGGGCACAAAGACGGCGGCCTCTTCCTGAAAAATGGGTGTGTTGTTGGGTATATTGGTAATGGCCCTAAGATAGGCGCTTTTGGTAGTCGTTATAACATTGGTATTATCTAGCCATGCTCTGGAAGAGAAATTTCCAAAAATTAACCAAAGAATGTGGCATACTTTTTGGGGGTGGCGAACAGCTGATACTTACACTTCATAGATTTTGGTACCGTTACTTATTAAGTCGTTGTCGGTTTGAACCCCCATTTCGATTTTTTCCGCTTTGAGAACTTCGCACTCATGCCAGAGTTCGTGAGTGCGGGCTTCAAACGTCTCCGAGAGTTCCATGTGTAACAGCTCATGCAAATGCTGTTCGCACAAACTGAAGTTACGCATTTTTAAGGCACAAGAGGCTTGACGCAGTTTAATCAATGGATGATACTCCTCCGGATAACCCAAATCCAAAGCACACAAACAGTCATCATACGCTTGCTGTAAACACGAAAAAAGCGAGAGGAAAGGAAACGAGATTAATTATTAATGGAAAAATGGTGGTGACAACGACAACGTCGATATGTCGGGTTTTTTTATTTGCAGCCAGTGTCACATGATGAATCATGGCATCCGCAAGTAATGCACAGTGATTCGAAGGAGTAAAATGTAAGGCCAAGATATACCCACAATAAAGGGTCGGGCATTGGAATTGTCCTACAATAAGGGTTTTAAATTTAAAATGTGGCTTTAAGGTTCACACATATATACAACGAAGTTCTCTTTACTAAGAAGTTCTCTTTACTAATACATCCGTTGCTTATTCCACAGATCGACTGTGTCCTATAGGTGATTTTTTTTTTTTTGTATTGGAAAACCCCCTTGGGGCATTTTAGTTACTTTTAAAAATCAGTTTATCCTTTCTAGTGTTCCATAAATAATTCCAATTTTTTGAGGCACTGTGTTTTGGCCTAGGGCCATAGTAGCTTGTTTACTTGCTCCGTACAATCAAATCCTTTCAAGATTGTTTGCCCATTCATAGGAAATATTTACCCAACCCACAATTATGGAATAGAGTAATCGTTATTAATACGAATGCACGAATATGAAATAATTATATGTTGTGTGCATGTGACACTAGGACTATATAGCTCTGGGTATATGTGTGTCATTGTAGACCCTTCGACCGAGCGAGCGACCGACAACCAGCCACAACCACAACGAGTTCATATTGCTGTTCTTTTTTTGTGTGTTGTGTTTTGTGGTTGCATTTAAGTTGTTTTTAATGTTGACATTGTTGTTGCTGCTGTCGTTGTTGTTATTATTATTATTATTGTTATTCATACCTCATACATGCCGCAGTCATGCAATACTGTGGACCTATTTGCGTGCGCCATTGCGGCTGCTATACTGTCTTGTGATGGCGCCAAAAATATTGCTTCCGTATAGAGGTCACAAGCTTTGAGAGCATGTCTTTCTTTACGATAGGAATCATTGCCGGCTTCTCGCATCCTTCTCGATTCTTCGTCCGATTTAAAATCTTCAGTTCTGGCGCGGAGTTGTTGAAACCATTCAATTACCAGAGATCTGAAAATGAACAAAAACCAGAACAGGATTTAAGTTTCCAAAAGTCTAAAACAACAAAGAAATACAACATTTGCCAGTAAATAATAATAATAACATTCTTATGGGTATATATGTATGTATGCGTGTGTGTGAGTGTATGCGTGCTTGAAGTAAAAGCAAAAAAAGAAAACGTCGTTTTCTCTGCTATTTCATGATGTAATGCACAATGAAAAGGAGTTGAGTGAGGTCTGTGATTCATCGTTACAAGGTAAAGGTCGTCCTAATAAGAGGAGGAATAAAATCTGTTTCCCTCTTTGTTTTGGTGAAAACACCAATTAATGTGTTTACGTTTAAGCGTCGGAGTGGGTGGGATGTCCTACTTTCTTATAAGTGGTTATGAATGTGTTTGTTATGATAATGATGTGGTTGGTGAGAGGTCGAACTGTATGGAGTGTAATTAAAACCAACAAAAAGAAAACAGCTTTTGGCAAAATTATGGCAGGAAAACGAACTTGAATGCTTAATGATTGCTGAACGCAATTGTTAAATTAAAATAAATATATAAAAGTTTGAAATATGTATGTAGGCGAAGTCGACCATTTAATGACATAAAATGCGCATGGAATTACAAAGGGATTATATTTTTTGTCCCCTAGAATTAAGATCTAACCAAACACCTATATAATTTTTTATGGTAGAAGTAGTGTAGATATTTAGGGATTATAGACGTTTTACGGATGTTTAGTATATACCTATTTTTGTGGAAGTGAGCCAATTTGACTCACTCCAGAATATTTCTATTTTTTGTGTGGAAACTCGTTCAATTCAATTTAAATAAAATATTCATTATCAGAAAAATCATAAAAACGTTTTTTTCACATAAATTCAATTTTAATACATGCATCGTTAAGGTTGAAGTGTCTGTCCGGCTGGTAAACACCTATTCGGATGGTGGATGATGCGCACGATAACTCTCGTAAGGAGTTGCAGATCTAATAGAATCTTTGCACATCCTAACATTTTTCTTCCAAATCAAAAATTTCAATATTTACATATCCAATATTAGGCGAATGGAATGTCCTATTTGAAAAAAACTTTGCACAACCTGTTATCTTTACCAACTCTAGATCAAGTCCGAAGATGGGACCCATTGGTCCACTTCTTGTGGTACCTCCCACACAAAGGGTCAAACATTTTATATGTATTAATCCAATATCAGGTGAATGGAATGTCCGATTTGGACCAAGTTTTACACAACCTGTTATATTTACAAAGTCTAGATCAAGTCCGAAGATGGGACCCATTGGTCCACTCCTTTTGGTACCTCCCCCACAAAGGGTAAAAATTTCAATATTTATAAATCCAATATCAGGCGAATGGAATGCCCGATTTGAACCAAATTTTGCACAGTCCGTCGTCCTGACGACGGTCAGTCCGTCGTCCTTTTTCATTTTTACCCACTCTTACATCTATACACACTAATATGCCTTGCAGATTATGAAAAACGTTAGTAACTTTTATTTGTTATTTATTTATTATTTTTTAACCGAATTTTCTGATAATAAAACTGATTTTTGTCGGATTTTTAAATTGAAAAGATTGGATTGAGCAGATATAAACTTAGAAATGATAGTCACGTAGGGAGTAAAGCGATGCACCAACTATAATTTGTATGACATGTATGGTAGTAAATTTAGTACTTTTTATATACTTCAAAACACATAGCATGGTTGGCATGTTCCGAAATTGTTACTAAATTTAGTACAACTCGTATATGTCAAATGAATAAATTTTAAAGCCTGAATTTTGGTGTGGAGATTGCATTTTGTGTATGGTGTTGATGTTGAGAATGTCTAAAACCGTTATAATTTCCGAACATGTAATATCTCAAACTCAAGTCAAATCTTACCAATAAGTTTGCTTAGTTTATGATATCAGTTGTGAAGGTTATAAATAATATTAGTTATAATCATAGTTCTGAAGTAATAACTTCTATCAATCGTGTCTACGGTTTTTAATAGGGTTTAGGGAATGCTCTACTTGAATCGAAGTTTCAATGAAGTGAATACAAATGCCTTATCGTCATAAAACTGCAGTTTGGCTTAGCGACGTTTTTATTTATTCATATATTCAAAAATAATTAATTTATAGTGAAAATTAAATGAAGTAAGTTACGTGTTTATCTATTATTATATTGTTTATTATCCTAGTTATCATACAATTAAATTTACTCTTAAGTATGTTTCTTTAACAACGTAAAATAAATTATATTAGAACTAGAGGTCATAGTGTCAGAAATACTCATATGCATACCTGTCACTATTCACTGTTGGAAATGAAATCGAAAAAAAATAAAATATTTATGGTGGGTTCTAACACCAAACATACCATTATGCTTATGAACACTATTACCGCAATGACATTCAATGGAAACGTATAGTTGAGACATGTGTAATTGTCAAAGCGTGAAGCAATTATGTAAACGAAAATCGAAAAAAAAGTTAAAAATAATCGCCCCCCATATTGTCTAACAATTCTCAAAACAAATATGTTTACCTTATCCCCAATTGCTTGTCTGTGTGCTTGTCTACACATTTTTAGTAATACTAATATTTCTTGTCGATATTTGCAGAAATAGTATAAACATACATACAGATGGAAATATAATAATTTTGACTGATAACTGGGGAATAAAATGACACAAAATAGAAAGGAAATGGCACAAAAAGGAAAATTTTCTGGAGGTACCCCTAAGCTATATATCGTTGTGGTATCATACATTGGTGGCCAAAATCTAAAGCAATTAAAATTGCAAACATAATAATAAGATAATGTGTCTGTTTTCGATTTTGATTTACTGCCGAATAAACATAAAAAATGGCTTGAAACAAACAATACAGTACAGCAAATTATCAGAGATTATGAAAATAAGTTATCATAGAAAATGATTTCATCAGGGAGGAGGCTGCAAAAAATAATCACTTCGTAACAATCAACAAATTGTCAGAGAAGTGAAAATACCCTTTTAGAAATTCAACGGAATTAGTGAGAGTGTTACATTGGATATAACTTCAAAGAACAGATCGTAGACAGGCTGTGGTAACAGGTCTACATACCCGGAAGCTGGCAAGAAAGCCATTTGTTTCCTGAAAAAAGATCGGAAAGACATATTGGCTTTCGCAAAAGGTCATATCAATTGGAATCCGACTATGTGGGAAATACTACCATCTCGAATGAATTAATGGCTCAAACATAGTACTGGTAGTCGCACAAAAGTAATTTTTTTACCAATTTTTTTTGTACATGTTCACAAATCAGTGATGCCAAAACTGATAAACAATGCTAGATTTTGTTTAAAAAATTCTAGAAAGTGCTAAAAAAGTTAAAAAGACAATACCACAATCACCATATGAAGTACCCGAACATTTTTAAAGATAACGGACGGGGCCGACCATACGATACCCTACACATCTACGACGGAACTCTAACTTTCTGTGGATGTTTATATCGAGCCTGGGCAATATTTCGTGATATTTGCACCCTCTTGACCGTTTACACTGACATATTTTCCGAAAATTCCCAATATTCAGTACAGCCATTCGCAAGCAGATGAAGGAACTCTTGGGATGTTTGAGAGAAAAATTCACCGAAAGACCTACGGGCCGATCTGCGTCGACGGTGAATATCGGCGTAGAATGAACCACGAACTTTAAAATCTATGCGCGGACAACGAAATAGTCGGTCGTATCGAGCTGCAGCGACTACGGTGGCTAGACCATGTTGTGCGAATGAATGAGAATGCTCCAGCTAAAAAAGTACTACTGAGTTCACGCAGTAGGTGAAGGCCACGAATTAGATGGAAAGACCAAGTAGGAGATAAAATCTCGGAACATAGACTTTCAAATTGGAGGAGATGCGCAAAAGACTGACGCGCTTGGAAATCTTTTTTAAGCTCGGCTTATGGTACAACCGTGCTGTAACAAGTCAGCTAAGTTAGTAAGTAAGCTGTACTGCCCTTCTAATTACTTGTCCAGATTTCCTTCACCGTGGGTTGTATTGTGATGTTCGGCTTGTGATCTATAGATCGACTCGAAAAAACACAAAACATTAAGTTTAACAGGAACCTCTTGGAAAATTTTAAAGCGATCAGCGCTAAATTTCTGCCCTCTAATGTTTATGGCCCATGGCACCTGTAAATATTTATGTGTAACTCCCACATCCGAGTACATACGACAATATAATTGGTATCAATTTCAAGGTCAACCACTCCTCTTGGATATACTTTTCGGGTCTATGTATTTCAGGGGTAAATATATACGTTATAAGATACCATTTCTGTAATTTTTCACACAAAAGTAAGGGTCCGTTTGACCCGCCACATATTGACCGCTTTTATCTTTTACCCAATCCTATTCGCCATGTAAATATTCGCGATGTTTTGGTCATAATTGCGGCCTGTGGAGCGACTAGAAAATCAGACAAAAATAAAGTTTTTGGTCCATTTCATCCTGTAAATATTAACCGACCTGTACCTAAAACGATATAAGTTCTCATTGGTCATTAACTTATTCGGCCTCTGGAGCGAACAGAAAATCAGGCAAAAGTAAAGTTTTTGGTCCATTTCATCCCCTAAATATTAGCTGATCTTTACCTAAAACGATAGGGGTCTTCATTGGCCAGAACCCATCCTACATGTAAAATTTCGTGAAGATGTGGTCTGTATCGTGTTTACACATTATAATGGACAGACGGACGCACACACATGTCTAGATCGACTCAGCTAGTCGAGATTGAGAGAGATTGTCGAGTCGAGAGATTGGTGTATAGGACCAATATTTCGCGGCGTTAGAAGCTCTTTGGGCTGCACAAAACTATAATACCCTGACAGCATAGTTGTGTAGGGTATAAAAATTAAAAATAAGCTTGGTGCTGGATCAAAGTGCTAAAACTAGCACTATAGGTGTGCTAAAATGGCAACTTTAGTATTAATTGACAGAGAGAGCAGTATCAGAACCTGAGACAAATTTATGGCAATTACCACTTTTACGGCCGCAATGTCATCAGAGGCATATAATTTAGTTTTTGTTGCTTTCTTTAAAAAGGTAGGAAACCTTGCCAAAGAAGTAAGTTTTTTCGAACCATTTGAGCATTTTTTAGGAAAATCGAGTTTCTAACTTTTGGCATATATTTGTAAGAATTCAGTTGGTAGACAATCAATCCAAATTTCGTTAGACTAAGCTAATCTACGATGATTTCAACGAAATATAATTTCCTAAAATACTTTTCTATGGAAGTCACAAAGTTCCGTTGGCAATGTGTACAATATTTATTAAAATATATATGTATATATATATATATATATATGTATATATGTTGGAACAATATTGAATTTTCGGAGCTTACGGGTGCTGAAACAATTTACTTATGCGAATGGCTACAAAACATCACATTAATATTGTCACAGTCACCCAAGTTCTCAGGCCTTTGAATTCAGCGACAACGCTATGCTACTATGAAATTGAAATAGATCACAAAATGGAATATTTAAGTGCCTCGACCTTAATTTTTTGTGTAGGAGAAAATAGACAATTTGATGTCGCCAACACAATATATATGAATGAATGCATCTAAATTTTTAATGCAAAAATAAGAAAAAAAAACATCTATCCCAACTTCACTTAATTTCACTTAATACCTCTCAAGGTTGTCTTTTATAATATGCACGTATATATAACTTCATTTAGACCGTTATGAATAATATATCATATCATTGTACTATATATGCCAATTATCATATTCACAAAAACACATTTGCGGATTTCATCACACAAAAGCAGGCTATGAAGTCATCCAAAACGAGAACGAAAATGATTTACATACACAAGTAATACAAATATTCAAACTTTTTACAGATATGTATATATGTACATACATATATACACATGTCCGTGTGCAGACTCCAGAAAATGTATCATAAAGCTGCATAAGATGCCATTGCAGGAGATAAGGTTGAATACAGGGTCAACAACAACCAAAAAGACAACAATAACAACGAATAGAAATGTAGACTAGGAAAAAAGTTCAAAAAACGCTGAACGACAAGTTACAGAGCAATTATGTTGAAATGAAATGATGTGAAAACCAAATACAAGAGCCTTTTTGGAGAAAATACAACTATGGGCCAAATGTGTGGCAGAGACTGAGCCAGCCAGCCAACAAAAGAACGAACGAACAAGCGACATACCCTACAACCAAGTGACCAACTAATGAATGATTAGTAGGCCCGATAACGATGGAACTGAACACAAATATATATATATATATATATATATTTGTATGTATATAAAACAATATAGGCGGAATGAGATTCAGACGAAAAGCCAACAATAACAACAGCTACACGAATTATAAAAAACCATGAAATATGAGAAAAGGAAATCTGTCATAAATCTAGGCAGCTCTGGCATTCAACCCATACAACGATGTTGCACTTCATGCCAAAAAATATATGTGACAGTGATTCATATTTACTTGGACTTGGCTGTGGAGAGAGGGAGGTGGTGCCGAAGAGCAGAGCACCACAAACAAATAATCAATTAAAGGCGGCTAACAAGGATTTCCTAACACACACAAACACGAACGAACGATGTTAGAGAAGACAACAACAGACCATTAATTAAGTATCGAAATGCCAGTTTGCCAAGAATCTAAACATCCTCCGAAGACGACACCTTCTATCTATCCATACATCCATTCACTCTACAGACCCCACCGACAGACAATCAATTGCAATGGCGGCACACAAAGAAATGGCCACACAAAATGAGCGCCAAATTCTAAACAGGACAATTGAGATTGCAATGCATACATTAAACGAAACGCCGATGCCAACGACAATGTGTGGGTGACCGAGCCAGTGAACAAGCCACCGACGGCCAGTAGTCACTTATGTTTTGGTATTTTCCCTATCAAAATCAATTTCAATTAAAAAAACACAAACATTAATGAAAAATTCAAAACACGAAACACGCCAATGCATATGGAAATTGCTCAAAGCCTGCTCTGCTCTCTACTCTGAGTTTCCTGTTAGCACGCTAACACACGTGACCTTATTTTTGTGAAAGAATAAAAAATATATCATACAGAGAATGAGACACGAGAGTGTCTCATTGGGAAAAGGGGTGAGCTGGTGGCAATTTTCTTTTGGAGAAAATTCCGAATAATAACACAACAAAACATAAAAGGAGAGTTGGCTATTAAGAGAATGAGGCAATGAAGCAGCGAGAAAGCCAAAGAAAAGGCTACAAAAGGGAAATGCAATTGAGAAAGAATTTACGGGAACAGTGCTGCCGTTTAGATTGTTGACCAATTGTTACTGGAATTTTCGTTTCAAGAGCGGCTGGTTTTCTTCTAAAGTGTTGGGATATTATTTGATAAAGTTCAAATATATACACTTTTAAACCACAAGAGAGGTCAGGTAAATACAGGGAGGACTATTCTCACATTAAATTGTATTATTCGATTCTTTATAACAAAAATATATCGATATTTTGTATTATTTTTGTGAGTGGTATTCTAAAGCTTTGAAGGCTCGTTGATTGTTTTGTTTTTGTTTAAATAGTAGCCGAAAAATGTTAAACAAATCGTATGGTGTTCCTAAATAACAAATATTTTAGTTTTAACCAGAAACTGTTGTAATCTGGGCTTTCATTGTATATATTTTCCCACAGTAACATCAGCGATTCAATGGACGTGTGTTAACATTGACTGGAAAAAATAAGATTTCCAGTCAATGTTAAAATAATTGACATTTTCTTTAACCTCATATGAAAACTTCATATTATTCACTTTTTATATTTTTGGTCGATTGCAATGTAATCTCCAAATGGCAACACCCTCTGAGTCTGACACAAAATTAGCATCAAAAAGAAATGTAGAAAAAGAACGAACGAAAGAATAAACGTAGAATGTACTAAAAGAATGCATTTCATTATTATAAATGATTAAATGACAAAATTCCTACGAAACGCTCGATGAAAATTTATGAAACATTTTTGTACGCATTAATCATAGCTGGATTGCTGGTGGGTAGGTTGTTTGGCTTACCTAAATTCTTTTTGCTGGTCTAATGCCAGACCATCGTCTTCACTGTCACTGAAACTGTGACAATTACGCAGATTAACAGCCGTTCCCGTACTGCCACTGCCAGCAGCAGCACCACCACCAGCGGCTCCAAGCTCTTCCATGGCTATTTCAATGCTGCCGCCATTGGTGGTGGTTACATTTTGAACACTACCTCCTACACCGGCACTGGCTCGACTTTTGCGACTACTGGAACGTGCTATGGCTCCGGTAGCGGCCGCTGCTGGAGTCACGTCCTGGGCCGATGCAACCATGAAACTCGTTGGCAAGTCAATGCACGACGACGCTTCGGGCACCTGAAGCGCCTGGTGGTGCTGATTGGCCAACTTGGATGTGGCCATAGCCGTGGATTTGTGGCGTCGCTGGGGACATTGCAATGCATCCAAGTCCAGCAATTGTCTTTGTAGTTGCAGCTCATCCTTGAAGTTGAGCTCATCCAGTTTTAGGCGATCCAATTGAAATTCTATTAAGTCATCCAGGTCCAGTAGAGATGAAGCCATGGTATTATAGAGAGTGTCGGATAGATGGATGTGTGTATGTCTGTGTTCTCGTGTATGGAGGGAGTTGCGGGATTGCAGAGTAATGCAGCAATGACACTTCTCTAATAGAGTTGGGATTTTTTGGGGTTTATTTCGTTTTTTTGTTTTTGATTTGTTGGTTTGTTTTGTTGTGTTGTTGTTGTCACAGGGTAGGGGAATATTTTACACACTGGCACACTTTTAGACTTTTAGGCGTTACACCGAATAGCCAGTGTTATGACACATTAACATCCATGTGAACATGTTTTATTCCATTTTTTTCTGTCGTGCACTCACTCAATCCCTAGCTGACATCGCGACGGAGAAAATCACTTTTTTTTGTTGGCCACCGACCACCATAGACCGTTCGAAGGCCAAGACGGACGACGTATTCCCGACACTTTACCGCAGTGTAATTTTTTTCTTCTGATTACGATGCGTATAAAACTTCTTTTTTCGTCTTTTCTTTGCTGCTACTGCTGGTGGTGCTACCACTTCTTCCTTATTTTTTTCGGTTATTGTACTTTTTGTACACATTCACACAAACACACTCACTTTCAGCACACACACACACACGCTCACACGCACTTATACACACATTTATTTACACTTTTTCTCTTCTACAAATTGAATCTCGTCGACGTTGTCGTCGTTGGTTTTGATTACGAAAAATCTGCTTTGGGTCCTTGTGTTGGTGGTGCTGCGGCTGGGACTGGTACAAGGCTTGAGGCTTCCTCAGCTTTTCACCGCAGTATTTTGAGGTATTTTCGTATCCTGGTGTTTCTGACAACGATATTGGCAATGTTTCTTCCTCATTTATGTCACTTGTCAGTTGCCCAAAAGACCTCGACAAGATTTACATAGACGCCCCTCTCGAAATGAACAAATTCCGATGACGAGCTGGAGGGGTAGTAGGAAGAGGAGAACAAGTGCAGGGCTGGCAGGCAGGCAGGGTGTCGTTTGTTGTGCAAACGCTACGTACGACGACACAGACAGCTTAAGAAGGTTAGAGCTTATTTGAGAAATTGATTTTCTTAAATATTTTTAGTGGCCATTTATTGATTTTTAACCAAAACAAGAAGAAGAAGGCTAACATTTTCACTCTTTAACAAATTTATAATGCGCTTGTGTGTATATATATATATATATATTTATTCAGTTCTTTTTGTTGTTGTAGTGTGAGTGTGTGAGTAAGGCAAATTATAAACTTTTTTCTTCTTCACTCATAATTTTATTTTACTACAAATGCTCTTTATACGTTTGTGTGTGCTTTTTTATTTTATATCTATTTTTTGGTTAATTTTATAACTTTCAAGCGAATCGACGAACCGACGAATGAAGGATAACTGAACAGTGTTTTATTTTTTCCGAATTATTTTTCGAGCGATTTTCAAGTTACAAGTTGGCTGTCGTTCCGTTTAACAATTGGTCGACTAAGCCAACAATGGAGTAGCAGAGAACCCAGTTGATTTGGTTATAGCGTTACGTTGGTTAAATTGCTGCTGCCACTACCACTAGCGTCTAGTTTTAGGTTTATTTTTTTATTTCATTTGGTTGCTGCTTCTTCTTCTCTACTGTTTAATTTTTTTCGTGTTAGCTATTATTACAGTTATGTTAAATATAGTATACTTGGTTGTGAAAATTTATGCAGAAAAATGGGAAAATACGACCATTGAACAACCAACCGCACACACGGACACGGATACGGGCTCTGGCACAGAGACACACAGACACAGTTACCGAAAAAAAGAACCACTTACAGCACAGGGATAAATTAAATATATTATTTAACTAACGTTGGGCCGTTATCGTTGCCGTCCGTCGTCGCCTGTTACCGTAACTAATTCAACGTTCGTTCGCTTTTTCGTTCTTTCGACATTTGGCTTTGCCGTTGCCACTGACTAGAATAATGAAAATGAAATGAAATGAATAAAAAACGGCATGCGAGAGTGTGTGTTGGATTGTCGACGTATTCGTGTGCTCCCCTTGTGGCAATTTTCTATTTCATTTTGTTGTCCTTCTTGTGTTTGCACGTAACATAACGTGCCGTGTTGTTGTTCACTTGAGTTTTTCCCTTACTTGATGGTTGTTATTTTTGTTTCTTCCTAGTTCTCTTCCTTTTTCAGCATTTTCCACTACATCCACTGATTCCTCTTCTTCTTCTTGTTCTCATTGTTATCGTTCAACTCTCACTTCACTGAATTTCATTCACTTGTTTCGTGGCTATTGCACTCGCTCAAAGTTTGGGGATATTTTTCTCGTCACTTTGTTTTACTGTTGTTGTGGTTGTTATTGTTGTTGTAGCTGTTGTTCTTTAGTTGTTTCTATAACCAACCATAAATCCAAAACAAACAATGGCAAGAGTTATTGCCAAGAGGGTGGTTGGCTGACTGGCTCGGATAAACACGCAAACCCTTGAACGTATGCCACACTACACTGCGTGCTGAGCTAAACTGAAGCGCCCAATGGTATGCAATGTAAATGTCAAACTTAGCACATGTTTTGTTTTCATTCATCTGTTTTTCTTTGCGTTTCCATTCTCAGAGATTTGTTTTTAGTACATTACTACAACTGTTCGAAACCTAAATGGGGTTGTTGGTGGGAGAGCGAGAATGTGTACACACATATTAATGAGAGTGTGTGTGTGTGTATAAATTTGTTTCCTCTTTGCATTCGTTTTCATTTCCATTTCTCTTTCATCGTCACTTGTTTTCGTTTTTTATATGGTTAGGCCAAAAATGTGTGTCTCTTTACCCATATACGTCACTTGTTTTCTCTTTTTTCTCTTTATATGTTTTTAATGGTTTCTCAGGCTCACACACTTGCTCTCAAATGTGTGTCATATGAAATTTGTAATTAAGTGGCTACATCCTCACAGAAACACACACACAAACGCGAAAGCACGCAGAGGAAACTGTCAGTGAGAGTGAGGAAATACTCTCACTTATAATTTGTTTACATGCGAACGTGTAAGAGCGTGAAGTGTGTGCTTACGACGGAAATGGGTAAAAAAGTCACAATTTAAAAAAAGGTTCCCTTTAAATAGTATCGGATACAAATTAATTTTTGGAACTATTTGGTATACCTCGAAATATTCAACGGAGATCCCATAAACTATATATACACTGGTGAGCAAACCAAAGCAAATAAAATTACAAGGTTAATAAATGCCGCATAACTATATCAAAAAAAAATATAGTGTTGGTTTGTTCAGTTTTCAATCGGATACTTTATTCACTTTTAAAAACAGAAAAAGTGGCATTAATGCAAAATTCATTATAAAATAAATAATAATTTGTGGATAAGGATTTTATCACAATTTTGGCTTGGACAAAACTAAAGCGACTCTACAGTACACGAATAAATCTGTGATTTTTCGAATTATAAGATGATTTTATGCAACTATATAAGTAGTTAAAGTTCAGCCGCAGTATTACAAAGGTACTGGTAAGCATGAAGGAGGATCAATAATGGTATTGGGTTGGTTTTCTTCTTATGGAGTTCGATATATTTACGAGATTTATAAAGTAATACACCGAATTGAGTATACAAATATGTTGGAAAACGCTATGGTTCCCTTCGCTGAAGAAAATTTACCTCTTGTTTGGGTATCTCAGCTTGACATTTACCACCAAAGAAAAACCAAAACATGACAAAGATTGGTGGCGGGTATCAAACATCAGATCTTTACATAATAGAAGAATCTTTGTAGTATCATAACCTCTTCCCAAAGGATCAGGATGAAAGAATAGCAAACCCAAGGATCAAATTGATCATTTTATTGATTCAATGTCTCGTAGGTGTACTGCCGAAATATATAAGAATGACTAAGCCTTCGAAAAAAAAATAAAAAAGTGGCTTCAGTTTTGACCTGGCAAAAATTGGGTCAATTTAGTTTTCCATAGAATATTTCTTATTTGAACATTAATTTTGTGTTTATATTTTTGTTTTAAGCGAATAAATTACCTATTTTTTTCTTAACAAAAAAACTTTCACTATAAATTTATTTTTAAAAATGTTACAGGTCATTTATTCAGTTTGTAACTTTAGTTGCTTTACTTTTGGTCACCAGTGTATATATTTATAATCAGAATCAAATTCTCTGACGATTTATACCAACCATTATCGGTATCGGCCCACTTCAAATGACAGCTCTAGGTTATAAATTATTTTGAATTATCATTAAATAACAGATCTATCTACCAAAAATGATCGCTATTGGTCCATTTTTGAGTATAGATCCCATTATTCGGTATTTTGGGCAAGTTTTTAAGTGAATTGGGTCTAATTTGGTTTTCATTGGGTATCAAATCTTCATACCAAAAATTCTCGAATGATTACAGTTCAATTGGTTCATATGCAGTGGAGTAAACTAACAAATAATATATTTAATAGCCTAGACAGACGACAGCCTTAATTTGCATTAACAGCCTTAATTCAAATTAACTTGTACATTATCCTCATTTTTAATGGACAAAATCAAACTGAATTAACTAATTTCAATATGGCAATACTTTCGAAAAACAATTAATTGTTGTCAAATATGTTTACGTTTATAAAAATAAAAATAAAAATTTTCAATAAAGGCAAATTTCAAAATTCTTTGAAATTGGGAGCTGTTTTGCTAACATCATAGCTGTTTTTCTTTCTTTATGCTATGTATCTATTTCATTAACATCTATCCAGAAAAATATTGGAAATAAATGCCAACATTTTCTTCCTACACACAGACAAACAATTGTTTTGAAACAAAAAACTATTTTGTAAATGCAGAAACTCTCGCCTGTCAGGGGTAAATATTAATTCAAATTAAGCACTTTTTAATGCAAATTAAGGCTGTCGTCTGTCTATGGTATAAAACTGTTTTTCTAGTGTTGCTAAAGGCCACAATTATGATCCGGACATCAGAGTTTTGTGTGAAAATCATATTTTTTTCATTTTGGGGGTTATGTCCAGAGAATTTGTAGCTTTTTCGTTTCTTC